GAATATAAAGAAACAGTTCATAATTACCGTTTCCGCGTAACATACTCAACGACATTAAATTCTTCCCTTATTAGCGCACTCACCAATCGACCACTTTAACGCCTTTGGCCCGAGAATGCAACCGACGCAACGCTCTCCCCCTCCTGCCCACCTACCCACCTACCCACCTACCCACCTACCCACCTACCTAGCCGTACCAGAAAACCAATCCACGTCGCAAGTCCAGCTCTGACATTAAATTAACGATTGAGCACTGGCGCGCATGGAGAAATAAACTGGCCATCGCCGGTACGAGATAACTCGCTAATAAGGAAGTCTGCAAATCCACGGCGGGGCCATAATAAATCGGGCCCCCGAGCGCGTATCCGATTTGCCCGTTGGAGCGCCTCCCGTTGGGCGACGCGCATTTCGAGGACAACGACCAACGCCGCGTTCGCTTGACCTACAGAGGCGTCGAGAGCGCCGTCCGAGAATAGCGTCTCCTCCTCGGCTACTGCGCGCTCGCAGCCTCTTCCCCGTGCAACGACACATCGGCCACGAGCCGAGCTAACTCGTCGGCAGTAGATTAACCCGCAGTGGCACGCGACTACGATGGATGACCGTGCGACCCTCCTACGGGAGGCCCGCCACTCCACTCCTGCTCAACGACCATTCTCCACGATCCAGGATGGCCGTATCTCGAGGGAGCGCCTAGTTACTTACCGCTACCTCTCTCATTGTCCTCGCAATTACTTGTCGTTTCGCGATTGCGCAACGCCCTCGCCGTCTCGCTTTGGCACTTGAGCAGCTCCCGGCCGCTCACGATCGCACAAATATCACACTCGTTTTAGTTAAATTAAGAAAGTCACTTATCGGCTTTACGATTCTTCGACCTTGGCACATGATGCGATATAAAAAATTTCGCTTCAAAACCAACAACATTATGGAGTTTAGTCTCAAACTAATGATATTATCATGCGATAAGGATGATTGTAGGTCGGTTAAGAAAAATAATAAAATACATTCTATCAAAAATGATCAAACGAATAACTCCATTGGAATGAAAATGTAAACGGAAATCGCCTAGAGAATTATCGTTTCTCCCCATTAAGTCGCTCACTAATCATTAGCTAACAACGAACTGAGAATACAAGCACGATTCTAAAATTACGTTTGATTGTAATTTTCAGTTGTTAGGTGTTTACATACCCTGTTTACGTGGCAACAGTAAAATCCCAAAACAAATAAAAAGAACGCGCTCAATGAGGCGGAAAAGAAAACGAGGGGAAAGGGCAGGCGACACGAGATGACGGTGAACAATGGAGATCCATTCGACTGGTTACTTACTATTCCTCAATTATCCAGACCTCCGTGCCGATCTTCGATCGGCTTCGGTCTTCGATCTTTCGTGGACAATCGTTTAACGGACTGTGCCATGTGCGTTGGCGGATCAGAATTTCGCAACGCTACGTACAACGTATTTTACGCGTATGCCGGTCCTCGCGGGCTCGACGACGCCAAGCGTCGCCTTTGTCTCGACTTGTGCCGAATTTAGATGTGTGTACGGTGGGCGTCCTAAAAATATCACGGCCGCCGGCCCCGAAGCCGCGATCTTGCTTATTTCCACTCGAGCGTTATTTCCACGTGTTGGGGGAGAATAGATGTATCTGCGACGACGACGACGACGACGACGACGACGACGACGACGACGACGACGACGACGACCGCGACAACGACGACCACAACGAAATGCTTGCGTGAGTCATACATCTTACATCGACGTACACACTGTGTATTTTCGAGGCTTTAAGTATGCTTCAATTACTCACGCCTCAATGTACCTTCCAAGTCAAATAATAGATTACTATATCGTAAGAGAAGCCATTGACGAGCGAAATTCTAGTGCATCGCAGGCGTTTCTTGATCTAGAAAATTATAGTTCGAGGATGAAGAATACTTTTGTAACGTTAACCCTCGTCTCATTTATTATTACTCTATCAATTATATTATATTATTAACGATGAGTTAAAATGCTAAACACTCAGGGATAATGATAATGATTATTAATATAAACGTAATGGCATTGCACAACTTATTCATGAAAATAAACACGAATTTAATTCCTCTTTATCGTTATAAATATGCGATTTTGTCCTTTATTCATTAATTATATTAATTCTTATCGATATATTTGGATAATAATAATAAATGGCGTTTACGTTAAACGATAGCTAACGATCATTATATATCGAAGGTCTTTTATTTAATAAGCATTTTAAATGCCCCGTTCGATGAAAAACTATCGTTGAATAGGAATTGAGGAATCGAATTCCCTAAATCGAATAAATGCTCAAGTATACTTAATACCTAACGAAGAAAATTTTAAAACTGATTATTTACTTTATATTACAAATCGCCTATTAATCTTATATTTAATTTTGAAAAACATTAACAATCATGTGACTTTGTATTTTTCAATTCTCATTTATTTCAATAAATTCATCGAGATTTATAAGCTTTGAAGGTAGATAATTAATTGAGCGGAGATGGTATTTGAGTTAAAAATATGTCGACTCCGCAATATTGGAGATTTTAAGATACATTTCTGACAATGTTGTTTATTCTCCTAATATTCACTATAAATATAAAAAAAAATATAAAAACTGAAACTTCTGCTCGTAACGCTCAAACGTGAAAAGTCAATATTTTTATGTTTCAAATAATAACAATATGCTTATATTTCGCTTATATTATCGTCGTAGTATCGAAATAAAAAGAAGAGAAAAAATCATGGGCGAGTAAAAGTATGACGAATGTCGACTAAAAATCCACGAATCCACGAATCCACGAATTCACGTATCCACGAATCCACGAATCCACGAATCCACGAATCCACGTATCCACGTATCCACGAATCCACGTATCCACGAATCCACGTATCCACGACTTACAGTATTATTATTACACGACAATAAAAACAGATAGAAAACTACAGAGTTTCAGAATGCCATTTATCGTTAATTGCTTTACATAAGTAGAATCGTGTTAATAAAATCACCGAGCCCTCGGAATATTTATATTTCCATGAATTTACGTATGCTATGCGGTATTGCACTTAATTATCAAAGTTATATATGCACGTGGACACTACCGACGAGGAGTGCGTAAACAGGCGTTACGAACTTATGCTCGTAATATCCTAACCGAATTCTTCAGCATAATAAAAACTTTCCTTCGGCCGCGACTCGCTGCTAAGTTACAACAGCGACGTTAAGCCAGCAGGTAACGTCTTTGACTTTCCACCTCCTGCACCCGAGAGATCCAAATAATCGCCATAGCAAGAGAATTAATCGGTCGGCCGCGATTACGATTCACCGGCGAATTCACCGGACAGTGGCTACGAGGGGTTAGGAGGTGCTGAAAGCGGCCGAAAGTACGTCGTCCTTATATGAAAAGAACGGCACCGAGATCGGCAAAAAAAGACTCGAACCCTTAGCGCCGCGGAATTTCAATTCGCGTTCGCGTTTGCGTTTGCCCGTTGCCGCAATACGTGAAAATGGAGACGTGGGTGGGTGGGAGGCCGACAGGTAGACGATTCTGGTGTCTTTTGGCCCTAGGCCGAAGCCTTTAGCATCAACATCGCGTGTCGGTTATTAATAGGTTGACAATTGCGGATAACGGCCACCTCGAACTCGGCCCGATTCGTTTTTGAATCGACGACGACGTCTTCGGTTCTTCCATCCGTAACTCCATCTCCCAGCCTCTCGACATCGGCTCCATTATTCAAAGTCCGCAGACTCGCTCGACCTTCATTCACGTCTCTCACCGTGATTTTTACCTGGAGTGCCGTTGCGAAGACTCGTCGAATTCTCCATGTGGGCAATCGCTCGTACGGTCGCTGGTACGACGCTATTTTGCAATTCAACCCCATCGAAATATTTATCGGCTGTCAGGGCGACGGCATCTCGTGGCGATTGAAATAAATCTCAACTCAACCTTCGAGAATCAATGCGACAATGATGCGACAATTATGCGACAATTATGCGACAATTATGCGACAATTATGCGAAATGACTCCTGGAGAAGTTCAGCAAATTTATCTCTCGATATCCATGCTAATAATAGAAATACCGTTAACGCGGATTGTTTACCGAAGTTCTTTAAGTCGAAATATAATGTCCGTAATTTCTAATTATTTCTTTGTAAATATTATTTTGTTGATAGCTTGTTAGAACAAAAAAAAAAAAAAAAAAAAAAAAAAAAAAAAAAAACAGAGAAAGATGTGTGTAATGTATGTCACTCAGGTGCGTCACGGGATATCAAAATAAAGTAAATATTTTAAAATGTCACCAACCACCGGACTATACAATTTTCCCAATAATTTTCACAATCGATTAAATTTTATTTTAACCAAACATAGTATTTCGTGAAGTGAATTTGTTGACACTTTGTACTCGGTACTAAGATTATCATAAAATCGTACAAAATCATTAAGGAGGCATACATACTCCAATCGGCTGTCAACGATGTCGTTCGAGACCAAATAATACGCTCTTGCTCGAGCGATCATACGTAATTTAGATCATAAAAATAAAATCCTCGAGCATTAGGACGTAAAGACGTAAAGACGTAAAGATCGTTGATAAGAAAGTTACAATGGAACATCAAGTTTTATAATTATTAGGTAATCCGGTAAATCAGCGAATCATGAAAATTTAGTTAAACCGATGCTCCTGTCGAAGGACTACTTGGGCAAACAATAGGCAAATTAATTTTTCCAATGTACTTTTGATAGGAAAACTCGTATAATTGTAACACGGCCTTTCTTTTACGTACGATAAACTTTTTGCCCTTGCACTTATCCCAATAAGCAGCTTCTCATTAAGCTCGATACGTTGGCATGGAGCTTGCGTCGCAAAGTCATCGAGGGAATCAGTCCCGCGCGACTCTCTTTTTTAATAATCCTGGAATCAAAATGTCGGACCGAGCCTTTCACGCAATAACATGTGCAAGAGACATACCTAGTTGATTCGTGTGGTGCATATTGTATATGGTAGCATGTTCCAGGGCCATATGCCCCTTGGTCCACCTTGGCGAGCTTGCGCTCGAGAGGAGAAGCCAGGAGTCCGGCTACATCCAACGCCCTGGCTACCGACTTTCGCCCCACTCACTTATCCTATGATGGATATTATAAACAATAGGGCGAGATTTTTTCTCAATGTCGCTTAACAATTGTCCCCGGGGCAGCTCGACTCTTGGCGAACGTCGCTCCTGCGGAGGCTGTTGGTTCAAAGAAAAGTGTGTCTTAGCTCCAGAGACTCTTTCACTCGATTGTCTATGTGAAAACTGTCGGAAATTGAAGAATGATTTAAGCTCCCGTAGCTTATAGCCCCGTGTCGCTCATCCTTCTGCCTTTTCCCATTCTTTTTTTATCATTCAAACGTTAGGAGGTTGGTGGGCCGAATGGTGGATTGGGGATTGGGAGGGGAGAGGAGGAGATAGGTGAAACGAAACTTTACACTTCATTTTATTTTCTAGGCTTATCTCGGCTCATCTCTTGTGAATCGAGCGATTTTTAGCTTTACGCTAGGAAGTGGTTAAGTAGTTTGGCGAAATTAATAGGTTTAATAAATATTAAAAGAAGGCAGGGAGATTATCCGAGAAAGTTATCCAAAGTACATTTTCGATTAATGGCAGAGTGTCGCAGCTTCATGCTATTGGCAATTTTTATCATCGCGCACTGAATCACGCGACTAAATCCTAAATTCGAACATTCGTCTAAGTAAACGAGTAAACCTCTTTATTATCATAAATTATAAGGTATTGTATGTGTAAAGGGCTTTTTGCCTAAACTTAACGCTAATTTGATAAACGAACAAATTCTCCTAAAATTTACATTTAAAATGAGAGCAAAGTTTTTGCAGCGAAGTTTCGGCGACAGACAAGTTAAATGCTTACATCCTTGCGCTATATGGCGATGATGAAGTTATTGCGAGTAAAGAGAGGCACATCCGATAATTACTTGGAATATCGGTTAATCGTAAATTTTCAAGATATTATCCTGCTCTAACCGGGGACACCGAGCAGCCATATACGCCGGAACGAGCGGACAGTGATTCGATAATACCGCGATTAACGTAAACTGGCGTTCCTTTGACCTAAATATTTGGGTCAGTCGTCGTGTAAAGTAAGGTAAACTTACTAACTCGGATTACTCTTCGGGCACTTGACTCATTGATTTAAAAAAAAAAAAAAAAAAAAAAAACTTTTTCAAATTGCACGTGTTTGGCCAATGAAAATTTTCTATTAATTTTCTATTTCACCTGGGATGAGCAAATACGTCGAGTAGGGACGATCGAAGGATTTGCCATAAAAGGCTACTAATATCAACAACTGTCGGGATAAAGTTTTATTTTAACCGGCGAAAGGCATTGACGTGCGCGCAAATTCGAAAGCAATCGGGATTGTGGGGAGCAGATACGTATCCCGGAGAAGCACCAGTCCAGGAGAGTACGTTCGAGTGAAGGAGGCCATTGTGTCCGGCCGTCGTGAGCCTATAATTATCCATGCATTCCTCGGAAATTAAAGACGACGAGCGGACGATGGAGTGAAAAGAAAGGTTAAAGGCCCGAGGGGAGCGGTGAGCGCTCTCGCTCACTCGAGTCCACTGACCGGCTAATGGTGACTACACCAACGTGATCGCGCCTTCCTTCGGATGCTGCACACGTGCTATGACCCGGTGCAATCCCGACTTTCGACATCTCGAGTGCCTTAATTTTTTTTTATCATTTTTATCATCGCGAGGGAGGATTGGCTTTAACGCCGATATTTTTTGTGGTTCATCGACAATATTATTTTAATGCCGAGAACGGTGGAGAGTGACTTGTGCTTTTTCCTAGGATTATCGTTGGCTTTTGTTTGGGTGTATTTCGCTCGCTCTTGTATTATGTTTGTGGCGAGGGGAATGGGTGAGAGAAGAGAAGAAAACTCGGAAGGGTTGGGCTGCGATTAATAATCGACGAAATAACAAAGGAAAAACTAATAGCTAAAAGTGAATGTAAATGTAAATGTAAATGTAAATGTAAATGTAAATGTAAATGTAAATGTAAATGTTAATGTAAATGTTAATGTTAATGTAAATGTAAATGTAAATTAAAGCGAGGAAAAAGTACGTGTAATCCGCGGTATGATTAGCCTAGTCGTTGCAACTTTCTAAGATTTCACGGTCACCTTGGATCAATAATATTACTTAACCAAGATTCTCTTGCTAAACCGCCGTAAGCACATATTCGAGCCTCCGAAAGAATAATTTACCAATCACTGTTCTTGCTTTTTGTCATTGCAATTTGAAGTGTTTGGAAGTCGAGCATTTTACAGATGCAACTTTCTATGTTGTCGGACACTACTATCCGTGGCAGATAGGCTTTTACCGCTTACACGCTACTCTTACCAAAATAGCCATTAAATTTCTTCACTTCCTCATTAACGAGCGATTAATTTTGAGCGTCGAACGTAAAGGTGGAGCGGAATGGAGTGTAGCGGAATGGAGTGGAGCGGAACGGGGGGGACAAAAGCGAGGCCAACCGGGGTAATGCTACCGACCGAAGGTCCATGCGCTATTTTAATCGAATTAGTTAGCAAAGTCAATGATCGAAGGAAACATTTGATATTTGCAAGGAAACATTCACATGTGACTGATAATTTTTCTTCCATTCGCTCATTACTAGAGTAGATTGTAAAATTATGGGGATTAAAGAATGAAACGAACACGTAGATCCTTACGATATAAAAACTAACGAGGTCTTGGCGTTAAATGTGGAAATGCTTTAGTGACCCATTGAAGAATTATTACATTAAATGACATGTCATGTCAAGCACAGTGCGAGGTTAATTAATATATATATATATATATATATATATATATATATA